TCGGGGGCCTCTTTCCACGTCGACTTGGTGCGAGGAGCTTGTTTCAGATCTTGACTCATTCAGTCTCTCCTATTAGCAATCACTAGGTCAAAAATTTCACAAAGGGATCTTTTGAGAATTGCCAACTGTGCACTTAGCCCGAAACCGTCAGGGCTAAAACTGCAGAGATGTTTATTGAACTGAACCTCTTTAAAGCTTCCTTTTCTAATATGACGTTCTCCTGTAGATTAGACGAGCGATACAAAGTTTTGGAAAGACTGAAAACTAACATCTACTTTACAAGAGGGGGAGTGGCAAAGCCCTGCGTTTTATTTGAACCAACTATGCTGCAGGCAAGAAAAACTAATCTGTACGATAGTGAGAATATATAAAGAATCATGTGACCAGCCCATTCCCAAAGCTAAATCAACACCTTGTCAACACTGAGCAACGATAAGAGAGAACAACAATGTCATTTTCTCAGCTTGACGCCCATACAAACCCCCACATGATGAAATTATATTCCCAGTGGATATTATACATTACAGAAAAGTCATGATGGGGAACTGTCAGCAACAATACACCAGCGGACAATCAGAGAAGTCAATTATTTCTTGTAGTATTCTTGAAAAAGTCATTTCTTTCCCCCACATTTCATTTCAAAACCTAAAATAAGACTAAGTGTCTAGACCTGTCTGAAGTACATTCTGAAAGCTGCCTTGAATAGAAATCTAGGAACTTGTGAAACTTGCAGTAAGATGCGGCTAAGGTTTTGATTCTTAGCGAATTTTAATACAGAAGAAGGAAATACCAATCAACATACTTCAATGGTTCAAATTAAAAGCTTTACAGTACTTTTAAAAAAGGTAAAAACCTGTCTTATGAAAGTGCCCATAGTGGCAACCAGCGACCTCAACCAGAAAACTTCTTGTGTGACTCCTCAGTTATCTTCGGATTACTTGTTTGGAAGAACACTGTCTAATTTTTGTGACTATATATCTAAGTGGGGCTGAAGAGGAGTTGTCAGTAGAGCAATGTCCCTAAAGATAACCAACATTTAAATCCAATTGTACTTGACTATTAAAGATCAGCCTCCTAGATTCTTAAAGAAAACTCTCCTTGTGAAATCACAGCTTTCCTAGAAAGATGGTTAGCAAGATGATACTTCAGTGTCTGCCTGTGAAAGCACATCACACTAATGCCATCGATCATCAAGTTTACGAAGGAACTCAAATAAAAAGCTTCCTTTATTTCTCCTCTACCTTACAGTAAGATATCACATAAACACAAATATTAACAAACAGAACACTCAAACCTCAGTAGAGGATTATCTACTTGTTGTTGGCTTTTAACATTTAAGTCACACATACTTGACCAAAATCCTTTCAGATTCATCTTAAATCTTAATTCACACAATTCTTCCACCTAAGTTCAGAAGAATCTGGCCACAATCCTATCACCATCTATAATCTTAATATATATCACTTTGTTAACTTATATAAAAATCAGTTCTTTATCTTTTTATCTCATCTGAGACATCTGAAAGTACTGGCAACCTAATGAAGACATCCAAAGAGTTTCTTGACATGCCTGACAAGGTTTGAGAAACAATCTCTTGAACCTTAGAAATGAAAGCCTTTTAAGTTTCAACACAGAAACTGCCAACTAAGCAAACAAATTGCACGAAACATACAATGGAAAAAATACTTAGTATTTAAAACTTGCCATTATAACATACTCAGTTGGGGCTGTCAGTTTAGTTGGAGGCCTAATGCCAGTAATGTCAAAATGAAGGAAAACAGAAGCAAGTTCTTAAGTTAACAACCGGCTTGACTATTGCAATCTAAGAAATGCAAATGAACTCCATAATCCTAGTATGAGTTCATAGGCCAATACAACCAATACAAGTATGAGCAAAGTTGGGGTGGTTGAAGAGATTCCTGAGAAGAATTTTGGGTATCTGGGCACTTAACATACATCCAAGAACTTGGTGGTAGAGTATTAATAGTGTTACCAAATGCAATTAAATGCTTAATTTTCTTACAAAAGCTTATACACACACACACACACATATATATACACACATATATATGTGTGTGTGTGTATGTGGGTGGGTGTGTATACACACCACACATACGTAGTGACATAAGCTTTAAAGATACTGTTACTGGGAATATAACTTGCACAGGTAGGTTTTTTTTCAAACACATTTCACTGCATTTTGGGGCAGATGTATGGGAATGAACTCAAGTATAAAAAAGTTATAATTTTGCAGATAAAATCAACTTCTTAGAGATTTCTGATGAATCTACTTGAAATAAAATTCAAATGCTAATAGATGGTCTCATAACTTGGTATGTATGGTCAACACAGTGCATCCTTTAAGTACCAAGTCTTTAGTACAGCTTATTTTGTTTCCAGACTTTGGTGTTAAGGGTCCTATAAAATATAAGCTGAACTACCCATAACATTCTGTGTACCACCAATTGATACTTGGGTTTGCATAAATATTCTCGGAATTTTGCATACTTTGAGGGAAGAGGTTAATACATGCTTCTCTTCCAAATACTGAACTATGACCACTAAGCCCACTAAATCCTTTTATTACAATTGGGAATGATCAAAGTCTCTCTACTTGTTTACTTCCAATTATTAACTGTAAATCTCCGGGAAAAAGATCATGCTATATCGGTGTCAAGCCCCAAAGACTGCGTAAACATTTACAATCAACTTTTTGGTGCTCTTTTTCCAAAGCGTCTTTTTACATGACCTATGGTAACATTTAGCAAAAACTATAAAACGTAGTCATGATTCTAATTGCATCCCACACTAGACGTTAAGAAAAAAATGATTGTTTCCCAGAGGAAAAAAAGAAAGAAAAAAAGGGGGAAAAGGAAAAAGAGAAAGGAAACCTCATGTAAGACTAACGTCCAGTCACCATCTTCACTCCAAAAAAAGCTCCAAATTTGAAATGCCCATTTCCCAGTGAGTACGTCTCAAGTGATGTTTAGAGAACTTATCCAACACTCCCCACAAATACTACCTTGAAAACTTTACCATTTTAAACACAAATGCAGGAGACCTTGGAAACAACTGGGAACCGCCATCTTACAAGCCATCCAATTTCACACAAGTGTTCCTCCAACTTAAGTTAATAACATTTTTGTTTGGGCTCTCTCCAGGCTAACATCCACCTTATCGGGATCGCTGCACCCCACGTAATCCGTCCCTATAAAATGGGGGCGTTCTCTGTATGTTTAAACCCCTCAAAAGCCCTTTCTTCGGGAGAGGTGGGAAACCACTTGACCCAACCAGCTCCCGATTTCAGGAACCCGTCCCCGCTTAACCAAAATCTACCTCTCAACAAAGGGCGCTGTGGCCGGGAGAGCTGCAGAGGCTGAAAACAGAAGTGTTCTTCTCGGGGGCCATGTGCGTCGCGAGAGTGTAGAGGGGCGCTCGGGGGAGAAAGGAACTAAAACGTGGGGCCGCGGCGCGTCCGGGGCTGGAGCGGGCGGCGGCGGC